GGTGGCCATTAACAGGTGAAAGGATAAGAAAATGTGGTATATGTGCACAGTGGAATTTTTATTTTATTTTTAAAATCTAAATATAAGTTCACATTTTTCCTCTTCCCTTTCCTCTTCTCACCAACCTTCCCCATAGTCTCCACTTTCTCTCAAATCCATGGTCTCTTGTTGTTATACATGAATATGTATATGTGTGTATGTATGTGTGCATGTATATATAAAACATATAATTGAATATACACACGAACACATAAATAGTTAAATATAACCTGCCCAGTAGTTTAGTGTCATTTCTAAGTACAGCATTCCAGACTTGACTACTCAGTACTGGGTAATCAAGCGTGGGGCTCATCCCAGGGGAAGACTAATTGTCCTGCTCTTAGCGTTCTTCAGCTGCCTCTAGTTCTTATTCTAGGAGTGGAACCCTTGAGCTTCCCTCTCCCACCTTTGCGTGGTTGGTGATATCAGTGTTTAGGTCTTGTTTAGGTCACCATGCTGCTGAGGTATCATGGGTATAACTTCTCTGACGTTTCCAGGAGACACAATCTCCCTCAGATTTCCCACTCCTTGGATTCTTACAATCTTCCCCTGACGCACCCTTATGTTCCCCAAGCCTTAGATGTAAGAATCGTGTTGTAGATGTTTCCACACAGAGCTGGGCAACCTGTGATCGGTTGCTCTCTGTATTTTAAACATTTCCGGGTTTCTCTAATGTTCTCTGACTATATTACTTATGTAGATGGCAAGATTTACTCTGTAAGTCTATCAATAAGTAGAAGGTGTAAATACTCTTTCTTGTATCCTCCAGTATGAACATAGATGGGCATACCTGCTAATGCATGCATGCATGCACACTCTATATCAATATATATATATATTATGGGTAAGATTAAAAATCCTAAATGCTTTCAAATACCTTTGATTCTACACAAATAAAAATGTAAGGATAATTTGATGTAAAGGCACATGTCTATAACCCCAGCAATTGAGAGGCAAGGCAAGAGAATCATGAGTTCCAGGATTACATAGCAAGTTTAAGGCCAGCCTGTTCTAGATAGGAAGTTCCAGGCAAGACTGAGCTACATAATGACACTCTTACCTAAAATGCAAAAGGAAGGAAGGAAGAATTTGAAAGAGAACAAAAAGAGATACGTGTGAGGGAGGAAGGGAAAGGGGAAATATTGTAAATATAATGTCAAAAATAAAAAAGGTGGATAAAAGAAAAAAATCACATTCCTCTAGGACGGACTGGTGACGGGGAAGATGGACTGATGGCCAGGTGAGAGGGAAGATGAACTGATGGGCAGGTGACAGAGAAGATGAACTGATGGACAGGTGACAGAGAAGATGAACTGATGGGCAGGTGAGAGGGAAGATGGATGATGGACAGGTGAGAGGGAAGATGGATGATGGACAGGTGAGAGGGAAGATGGATGATGGACAGGTGAGCGGGAAGATGGACTGATGGGCAGGTGAGAGGGAAGATGGATGATGGACAGGTGACAGAGAAGATGGACTGATGGACAGGTGAGAGGGAAGATGAACTGATGGACAGGTGAGAGGGAAGATGGATGATGGACAGGTGAGCGGGAAGATGGACTGATGGACAGGTGAGAGGGAAGATGGATGATGGACAGGTGAGAGGGAAGATGGATGATGGACAGGTGAGCGGGAAGATGGATGATGGACAGGTGAGCGGGAAGATGGACTGATGGGCAGGTGAGAGGGAAGATGGATGATGGACAGGTGACAGGGAAGATGGACTGATGGACAGGTGAGAGGGAAGATGAACTGATGGACAGGTGAGAGGGAAGATGGATGATGGACAGGTGAGCGGGAAGATGGACTGATGGACAGGTGAGAGGGAAGATGGATGATGGACAGGTGAGAGGGAAGATGGATGATGGACAGGTGAGCGGGAAGATGGATGATGGACAGGTGAGAGGGAAGATGGATGATGGACAGGTGAGAGGGAAGATGGACTGATGGACAGGTGAGCGGGAAGATGGACTGATGGACAGGTGAGAGGGAAGATGGATGATGGACAGGTGAGAGGGGAGATGGATGATGGACAGGTGAGGGGAAGCCCCCAAGAAAGATGCTGAACAACTCATCACCTTTACTTCCTGAGCCCTGGGATGTGTTTTGGAGAGGGGTTGGACAGCACTAGGGGTTAGTCTACTAGAGACCATGCCCTCTGCTGCTTCCTAGGTGTGCATGTCTTTAGGCATATGGCCCAACTGCTCCAACCTCAATTTTCCTGTCTTTGAAGTGAGCAGAGGAGTGACTACCACACGTCGTCAGTTAAGTGGTCACCACTGACACTTCAACTGGCTACTAGGTTCCCTATTGACCTACAGGTTGTCATTTCCTAGGGACAGTGATCAGTCTCAGTGGCAAGAGACTCGTATCTACCTGCCATTCTCTGACCACAGACTGATCTTCTAGAAGGGTATACTTTTTTAAAGACGTGTGTGTGTGTGTGTGTGCGTGTGTGTGAATGTTACATGTGAGTTCCCAAAGAGGCCCCCCCAAAAAGAGTGCTGGATTCCCTAAAGCTGGAGTCACAGGCAGATGTGAACCGTCTGACATGGTGCTAGGAACTGAACTTGGGTCCTCTAGAAGAGCAGGAAGACTCTTAACCCCAGAGTCATCTCTCTAGCCCCAAGGGTATGAGCCTATTTTTTATTATCCTCTTCCTTTAGAGTTCCTTGGAAAAGAACTCTGCTTCCAACAGACAGCAGAGTCTAGACATTGTCTTTACTTATTGCAAAAAAAAAAAAAAAAAAAAAAGATCTGTGTATACATAGTCTACTCTCTAAGTTAGCTTGGTTCATCAGAGACCATGATGTCCCCAGAAAGTTGTGGTTGTTGTATAGATGCCACCACTAGTAAGAGCCTGAGGTAGCGACACTCCCAGGAATCAACATACCAAGGCTCTGGGCTGTCATCTCTAAATGCTGTAGGTCTGCATGGCAGGGTAGGGATCACCCTAGACAAAGTCATGGGCCACTTTTCTTCTTTTGGATAGATAAGGCATTGTCCCCCTGCAGCCTTCTTGTTCTGCAGTCAGTGGAGAGAGTCTCCAGTTCACCCAAGTTTATGCTCACGGTTAATATTAGTCTGAGAGTCCTCTGGCAGCTCTCAGTGCATCACCAAATACAGGCAGCTAAAGATGCTAAGTGGGGGCGTTGGGGGATAATAAATAGCAGCAGGAAAATGGATGTTTTTTTTCTGTGTCCACAGAGGCACAGAACCAGGGTAGACTAATTGTAAAAGTCCCACATACTCTCCTCTCCTTAGCCCTACCAAATTCATTAATTGAATGGCCACAAAAATCATTTAATCCCTCTGTGCTTCGGTATTGTCATCTACAAAGCAGACGATATCCATCCCAGCAAAGCCAATGCTCACAGAGGATCTGGCACAGAGCTAGTAAAGAGTAGATCCAACATGACAGTATCCTAATCACATGGTGACCTTCCACATGGTCCCTGTTTGGTCCTGACTTGTAGTGGTGCAAGAGGTTGAGGTTCTGCATCCTGGACAAGCCTCCTGGTGATGGAGATGCTGCATGTGGTATGATTCAAGGGACCAGGTTAAGAGACCTGAAGCTGTACAAAGGCAATTTGGACCATGCACCACCACAGCAAGGATGTCTCCTGGCGTCATCTGTTTGTGCTGATGCGATGGCTAAAGGGACCCCACCTGATCTGTCTTAGCATTTCATGAGGGTTTGTTTGGGTTCCTCTAGAAAGAAAAGAAGAAGAAAGCCAGAGGCCACCCCTCCCAGGCACCACACTGTCCTGGGGGAGGAGCACATGGAGTGAGAAGAGATTCCATCTAGAGTAGGAGCTGGGGCCAAGCATCCTCCTGGCTCGTGGTGAGCAGATGAGCAATCCTACCACACTGCTCAGAACTGGACAGAGAAAGGCTATGCAGAGACAGTTGTAAGCATTGATGTTTCTACCTCTTGTTGGTCTTTCAAGTTTAGAGAGCATGGTGGTCTCCCAACCTGGATGCTCCTCAGGTTTTCCAATGTGCAGTATAAAAATATTCTAGACTTTGCTGGAGACCAGTGCTTCTCAACCAGGGGCAAGTATAAACTTATGGCACATTTAGGGACATTGTGGAACATCTTTGGTCATGACAGTTGAAGATCGCAACTTCACCTGTGGATAGAGACCAAGAGGATGGTCCCCAAAAACATAGTCACAACTTCAAGAGTGTTGGGGCAAAAAACCTGCCCTCAATATATTCAAGCATATTCCCAGAAAAAAAAATTGTGTTAACAAATATTTCAGGGGAATGTGACTGAGAGGCAATGCAGAGAAGATGATGAGAATGACCTTGGAAACTGATGCTTGGCTTCCATCATCTTTTAACTTATGTATCCATCATGAGTCTCTCTCTGGCATATAGTGTCTGTATGTACATGTGTGCAGGTGCAAACACCTGTGCATGTGTGTATGGAGCATGGAAGAGGATCTCAAATATCCCCCATGAGGGCCCTCTCTCTGCCTTGAGGCAGGGGTCCCACTGAACCTGGAGCTAACCATTTTCAGCTAGTCTGCTGGCCACCACACCCCATGGACCTTCCTGTCTCCTATTCCCCAGCACTGGGAACAAAGACATTGCCATTCCAGGCTTCTACTGTGGGTGCCGTGGGTCCAAACCCAGCTCCTTGTGTTTGTGCAGCACTGAGCCATTGCTCTAGCTTGGGATGTGTGACCATGAACAAGGTTTCTGAGAGTTTGCACCCCAGTTCCTTTATCTCTAAGATGGAAGGATCATAATAGCAGCAACACACACAAGTCAGGGACATTGGGAGATTAAGGAGTCAATCTGGGGATTATAGCTTTGTCACGTAGCATGGGACAAATGCGTGCTAACTGCTGGTTATAGCCAGGCTGGGCAGTGAGGTTGAGATATCTCATAGGTCTGGCCTTAAAAGCTTGCAGCGGCTTCCGAAGAAGGTGTGGTGGGACAGGTGGGCTCACCTGGAAGCGATGGAAGTCCTGAGGCTTGAAGTCGTTGGGAGAGCAGCCGCACCAGTCCACGATGTGCTTGTACTGGCACTTGCAGCCCAGCTTGCGGTTCCAATTGGTGATGCGCAGGTTGTTATCCACCATGGTGTCGCAGTGAGGGCTGTTCTCCAGGACCGTGTGGAAAAAGGACTGCAGAGGAGAAAAGGGCCCAGCCTGAGAACCCAGTAACGCACAACCAAGTGTGTCGGATTTGGCATGTCCTTTCTGTGGACCATCGAGTGCAAAGGGCTCTCCAGGACACCAGTGTCAAGTCTATCTCAGGCACACAACATCAGCTGCCAGGCCTGTGCATCTCAGGGTGCAGATGTCTGTTTAGTCTTCACTGGCTAATTCTACTTACAAGTCTATTGTGTGGAACCTTCCTTCCCTAGTGCCTAGAATCTGATATGAAGATAACTGTCCCTTATCACCCGGGACATCTGCAGTCTGTTTAACAGATAGGAAGAGCTCCTCAGGATGTATCAACAAATGGGAACCAGAAGCAAACATGACAGACAGATTTCCAGGAAACTATAGGTTGCCAGGGCTCCTGCCTGCAAAGAATCAGATCGGAAACCAGGAAGTTTCAGGTCTGAAATAGATGGATAACAATGTCCAATGAGCTTGGATTTCACCTCTGGATGAGGAAGGCAAGACTCATGGGTCCACCTATATGTACACTGACTACACAGCAGGGAAGGGCAGGGCTGCTCACTGTCCACGGCAACAAACCAAGGTCCATCACTCAATATCACACATACACAAAAGTGGCTTGGAGAGATGCTGCTGGCGGCAGTGCTGGACCAGGAGCCACTGCACTAAGACAGTGTGGTTAGAGATGCTGCTGGCAGCAGTGCTAGACCAGTAGCCAGTGCCCTAAGACAGTGTGGCTAGAGATGCTGCTGGCGGCAGTGCTGGACCAGGAGCCACTGCACTAAGACAGTGTGGTTAGAGATGCTGCTGGCAGCAGTGCTAGACCAGTAGCCAGTGCCCTAAGACAGTGTGGCTAGAGATGCTGCTGGCGGCAGTGCTGGACCAGGAGCCACTGCACTAAGATAGTGTGGCTAGAACTGGGGGCCAGGTGTGTGCTTGCTGTTCACCGTACTAAATCAGGAGCCCCTGAGCTCACAGTCACTAAACTGAGTATTGAGGAATTGCTTTCTGTCTGTGGTGCTGAAGGAGCCCACCCAGTGTGGACAGAAAACAAGTAAATGTGGGCTGTGTGTTTTCTATGGTAATGAACCAGCATGCATAATTCTTTCCTAATTTTAGGACTCTTGGTCAATTCTTTCAAAGATTCTGAGAAAGAGGTGATGCTGGGAGAAGAGAGGCAGAGAGGGGACATAGCATTTGGTTACAGACACTGAGCTACTGAAAGAGAAGGACAAGAGCGATTTCTATTTCAACACAGTTTTATAACAAGCTCTGCCGACTGGAGAATATGCTTCCTCCCGGACCCTGGTCCCCAGGGGAAGCTGCTGGTGGATATGTGTCTGACGGTTGCAGATTTATGGACACAGTCTTTAGATTTCTTCTCAGCCCTGGAGCTGTTTCAGAAAGAACAAGCAGGCAGACACAACACAATGGAGGAAGAGGCTCTGACAGAGACCCCAGGGAAATGTTTTGGTGCTGAGGCAGAGGTGGGGAAGTGAGTGTACTCAGAGCTTTGAGGGTACCGATGGTGTCATTGGCATATTGCTGAGAACAACCGAACTCCCAGAGAATCTCTTCTAAATGGGCGGATGGGCAAAACGAAGCTCCACCTGCCACTCAGCTCCACTCACTTGTCTTCCTGTGATGCTAATGACATTGGCAGGGGACCTGGATTTAAACTTGACTTGTCTACAAGCCCACAGAGGCACCTCTCTTCCATCAAGCAGTGGGGGAAAGTACCCAATTACCAATTGCCCTGTGTCCTTTATAACGATGCAGAAATTCCCTGCAAGATAATGGATGAGGGGGTTATCAGAATGGAGAGAAAAGGTGATTTCCGCTGAAATAGGATTAAACGCTGATGACTTAACATGTGCACAGAATAGTAAAACCTGGCTCAGAGAGGCTGGGCTGCTCCTCACGCTGAGCTGTGTGGACAGCCAGTCCTCCTGGGAGCTGGCCCCTGACCTGATATGATACTACATGGGAATCATCCACGGAGATGCATGGTCTCTTCCAGGCTGTGTGATTAGGACTTGAGGCCCAACAGCCAGGGAGCAGAGAACCACACACGAGCAATGCCACAGGCTCCATGGAAACAGAACGAGCACTGGGGTTTCCCCAAGGTTAGAAGTCTGGATAAAACTAGCTAGAGGTCAGGGAGATGAAGCCAGAAGCTCCCATCTCAGAGAAGGCAGCTTCCAGCAGGTGACAGGCAACTTAATCAGGATGTGCCTGGCTGTTTTAAAATGGTCTGGAGCCTTATGAGGTGGGGACTGCACCCGGATGCTATCAAAGATGCAGGGGCTTATTCAGTATGCGCCACAGGAAGGGCTGAGCCCTGATCATTTGACCATGATGGCTGACAATGGAGAGGGCCATTGAAAGAGATCCTATTTGGTTTTCCCAGGGCGATTGTGAATCAAGTGTGTGTGTGTGTGTGTGTGTGTGTGTGTGCAATGAAGACAGCACTCTCAGGGAGTGACAGGAATGACAGAACTGTATTCAGATGAGAAAAGGGATTGCTGGTGCTGAAAATGGTTATTACTTCACTGCATGATTGATGACTGGAGGATGTGTTAAAAGTTGATGTGGCTGTCCTGGAACTGTTAGCATGCACCGCACAATTCCAAAGAGTGTCATCAACAATCAGAGGGTTTGCAATTTTAACATTTTTTTTTCTTTTTGGCTGCAAAGTAGCAGTAACATCTTTTTCTAGAAAAGTCAGACTGTTGGATTGTTTTCTATTACAAATATGGGCTGAGTGCCTTAAACAGGGTTGCTTTTTGTTTGTTTGTTTGTTTGTTTGTTTTTGTTTTTCGAGACAGGGTTTCTCTGTGGTTTTTTGGAGCCCGTCCTGGAACTAGCTCTTGTAGACCAGGCTGGTCTCGAACTCACAGAGATCCGCCTGCCTCTGCCTCCCGAGTGCTGGGATTAAAGGCGTGCGCCACCACCGCCCGGCAAACAGGGTTGCTTTTTGTACTTGGCATGCAGAGACCATGCAGGCTGTGGATGCATCCTTGACACCACATGTGCACCACAGGTCTGGCTATGAGGTCAGGTCTGCAGGGACCAGTGTGGTTCTCCAGCACTGTCTGGAGACATGCAGGATCACATGGTCAAACATCTACTCTCTGCTAGGGCTACACCTAGCACCTCTCCCTGTACCCTACCCTGGGCTCTTTCCTGGAACTCACCTCAGCAGGAAGAAGGGTGTAAGAGTAAAACTGCTTCATCTTGGTCACCAGGTCATCTGTGGAGAATGCCACATACTCTACAAACTTCCGGTTAAGCAGGAACCAATCAGAGCCACCGTCCACAGCAATGCCCTCTGGGATCCGCCGGTCCCCCAGGCGCCACATATGTGCATCACACTCCAGGAAAAGACGGTCCAGGCCCTGTTTGCGAATGAACCTGGGCAAAACAAGTTGACCTTGAGTACCTGGGTAAGAGGGTTCTTCCCAGAGCCCAAAGACACCATCATGGCAGTTAGGGTATTTACTGAGCTCTTTCTGGGTGCTCACAGGAGTCAGGATTTCACATGCAGCCTACTGCTTATTGCTCCTGGGTGAGGCAGGGCATAGCACCTCTGCAATAGGGATTACTACTGCCCTGTTGGCTAGAAGAACCACTGGAGCCCAGGAGGTCTAGTGCAGCTATCCAGCAGCTCACACAGACGTGAGCAAATTCAGTCTTACCTCTACTTTTTTAGAAATTTCTCCCAACAGTCTTTTAGTGGTTGCTGTGACAGTTTGATGAACACAGCTCATGGGCCCTCATCTTAGGACAGTGCTATAAAATCCCTTCGCGTGCGCGCACATACACACATACACACGCACTCACTCATACACACATATGCTCTACACACGCACTCACTCATACACACATACGCTCTACACATACATTCACTCATACACACATACACTCTACACATGCACTCACTCATACACACATACACTCTACACATACATTCACTCATACACACATACACTCTACACACATGCACACACGCATACACACATACTCACACACACACTCACTCATACATGCACACACACTCATACATACACTCTACACACACTCATTCATACACACAACACTCTACACACACATACTCATATATACACACACTCTAAAACACACACTCACTCATACATACACTTCACACCCATACTCTCACACACTCACTCATACACACACACGCACACACATACTCACTCATACACACTCATACACACATACACTGTACACATACACTCTACACAATGCACACACGGATACACACATACTCACACACTCACTCATACACGCACTCACACACACTCACTCATACGCACATATACTCTACACACATACTCACACCAACACGACTCAGTTGGAAGAATGACTGCATTGCATACATGAAGCCCTGGGTTCAACCTCCAGTATCACGAGTCGACCTGGCATGGTGACGTCATTCTAGCACTCAGGAGGTAGAGGCAGGAGGAACATAAATTCAAGGTTGTCTTTAGCTTTGTGCTGAGCTCTGAGGACGGCATGACTGAAGAGACACATGCACGCATGCACACACATCAGATGCAGACTCCAGGACGGGTGTGTGTTGGGAACCTTCTGGGCTGTAAGCTCTGCATGGGTACCTAGCTCACTAGAGTAAGGAACCTTCCTATGACAGGTGTTCAATAAAGGTTTGCTGTGGAGAAACTGAAAGTTCAAGAAGAACGCTTGCTCCTAGCTCTGCTATAAAAACCACGACACATGAGTATGAATGTGTATAGTTTTTTTTTTTCAGCACTAGGGCTCAAACCCAGGGCCTGAGCATGCTTGGCTCATAGAGCTACAGTGCCTGTTCAAGCTGTTTCTCAAATCACACATTATCCATGGATTTATAAAATATTTTGAAAAAATAACAAATTATGATCTTCTGGGTATTTCATTAGCACATTAAATGACAAGATGTGGTGGCATCCTGGCACATCTAATAAGTACTTTTGTGGAAGCAGTGGGCATAAATTATGCTTTGAGGCATCGACACAAACTATAATGTGTAATTCCAGTCTGGGCCTAACTCAGTGACCACTGGTATTGCCGTGGCTTGATACTTACATGATCTCAGGTTGCATTTGGTGGGGGAAAAAAATGAAAGGCCCCTCTGAGCTCTTCCCAAGCAGACACAAAATTAATACTTCTGGATTTCATAGTAGACAATTCACACCTCTCTCTCTCTCTCTCTCTCTCTCTCTCTCTCTCTCTCTCTCTCCTCATTTAGGACTATGAGGGCAGATGAGGCAGAAGTGGCATTTCTTCTCTTCTGTCTTTCTGTCTCTGTCTGTCTGTCTGTCTGTCTGTCTGTCTGTCTCTGCAGCTAGGAAAATCAAAGCTCCTTAAATGAGCTCTAAGGGAGTGGGTGTGTTAGGAGTGTGGGCAGAGATATAAGCGAGCTTTCTTCTTGAACGGTCAGTTCACTCACAGCGAACTTTATTGAACACCTACTGTGTGCTAGGCATGGTTTTAGGTGCTCATGGGCGTCAAGCAGAAGGAAGACTGATCCTTACTCAGATGAACTGGGTATCCATAGGCAGTCTCCAGTCTGCAGGGCTCCCAATGCAGGGATCTGTCTGCTGTTCCAGCCTTTTGAGCTGTGTTCTGGTCCAGGAATCTGGATCTCTGAAGCTCTGGTTAGCAGGCCTCTGTGTGAATCTTCTCCTCGTCACCCTGCAGCAGCCCTGCTCCATGCTAGGCTGGCCTCACCCCTGCAGCAGCCCTGCTCCATGCTAGGCTGGCCTCACCCCTGCAGTAGTTCTGCTCCATGCTAGGCTGGCCACTTTCCTAAGAGACACACAGAAGACTCATAGCAACAGAATCCACCAGAACACCCAGGTGTTCAGAAGACGTATGTGTCCAGTATCCCTGATCTTATTCTTTTTTTAATGAGTTCATTCATAAAGTCCCTTCCTTCCTGGGAAGTTCAGTGGGAGCTGTTCATTATAGACATACTACCACTTCTACGGAAACAAAACTGAAGTTTGACAGGGAGCCCTGTGCTTTGAAATATCAAATCCTGCCTTGAGTCCGGCTACTAATAATCCTACAATAATGTCCAGCAGCTGCACGGGACCATGCTAAAAACTCTAATTTCAGATAACTTATGTGAAAATTCATATGGAAACCATACTAGCAGAAAGAGAGAGTAAAAAACAACCTATGGTGAGGGGCCAAGCAAATTCCTCCTTCCGTGGAACAGTGTTTAAACCCCACGTTACAACACGGGCTAACAGCATCTTGTGATTTTAATGCACTGTCCCAGGTTCTAATACTTGAATGCAGCATTCATTCACGAGTCATCTCCAAAATGAAATGCCCATGGCTTTCGGGGAGTGAGTTCCATATTTACTGCCTTTGCAAACAGGATAAGCTGCAAATGTGTGCTTTGGTGAAGTATGAATAAATAAAGACAGCCAATTTCTCAAGGCTAAGAATGCTTTCTCATACCACAGGAGCTACTGAGGACTTTAGTTTTAGAAGATGGTAGCAGCCCAGAGCCTGGGTTTCAAGCAGAGGATCAGAGTCAACTCTTTGAGCTGATATTTAATTTTAAATTTTTCATTTACTCTGTTCTGAGCATCCACCATAACTTGAAACATAAAAGGTGAAGTTGGAAGATAAGGTAAGTCTAAAGACACTCTCTTTTCATATGTGTTGGCTCCTGGCTCTCTCCCATCAGGGCTGAGCACTAGTTTGCATCTATGGAACTTATAACATACAGAAGGATGTCTTCTCCATCCTCTCAGTTGTATTTCTCATTGCCATGGTTACCTTGGGGCATCTGGGCAACAGGTGGCGCCAAAGCAACACAGGCACTATGAAGAGCCAGTTTCAACAGGACTCTATGAACTCACAATAGGAGTACCAACAGCCTTCCAAAAACACATGCCCCTGCAGGGGTCTTGCAAAGTATTTAGCAAGCACTAGTTACCCAAGCAATAAATGGGGGCAACCACCAATCAGTTCTTCCATATGGTGACACATCTCCCATCCTTAGCATCCTGAATTCTTTCCATGCATTATTGTTATCCATTGCATCTTCTTTCTCGTGCAGGGTTCTTATTTAGTTTATCATCTGCTTCTGCTCACGAGGTGTACGTCTTGAGGTGGCAGAGATGTTTGTCTCCTAATTCTCTACTGTATCCCTAGAACAATGCATTCTGTATACCAGGTGCTCAGCAAATATTATTTACTCAAGGGATGATTGAACAACAGAAAAAGGCAGAAGCCACAACCATTAGACAATCAGGAAGTCACAGAAATGACACAACTAGGTACCCATCCACTTCCTCTAACACATCTGACGTGCAGCTGAGGTGTTAGAGGAATGGACTCTCTGAAAGGCTGAGCAATTTCACCCAGGCTTGGTAATTTCAGCACTGGGGAAGTGAGGCAGGAGACTTGCCTTGAATTTGAGGGCAGCCTGGGCTTTGTAGTGAGTGCCAGGCCTGCTGGAGCTACACAGCAAGAACTTGCCTCAAACAAAACAAAAATAAGGCAGGATGAGTAACTTCTCCAGAGTCACAGAGCTAGGGACCTTGAACTTGACCCCAAGGTAAGCTCTTAGGATTTCTGTCATTCGCTGCTTCCATTCACCAGGGCCCTCCCAAATGGATAGAAATGAAGGATTTGAGCATTTCCACTGCTTCAAAGAGACAAGAATAAGAGTTTCATGTTGCTTTGAAAGATTTTCTGGGGGCCCCATGAGGACTTGCACCTTCAGAGTGGCCTTCCTGAATTTCACATGGAAGCATCTGCATTCAGCTTTATTCCTAGGTTTTGAGAAATGCATGACTTGCCTTCCAAAGTTTTACTTATAATGTAGGCTTCACTGGGACTCAAGGGACTAAATTCTAATAGCTGAGAACGAATCTAAATCACATGGAAGGCTTTGATTAGGTCAGAGGGTCCAACTGTCCCCCGGGGAGAAGAGGCCAGTGAAGGAGGGCTCTGTCGTGTCATCAGGAGCCAAAGTGGTTTCTCCATTCTGCGCATTCCCTGGCTGCCATCTTTTTACACCCACCAAGTGTGGTGCTACCCCAGGACTTTCTGGTGAGTTCCAAAAGGATGGAGGCTGCCCCCTAGAGTTTTCAGTGTGTTCAAAGAAGCCTTAGCAGTTTGCAAAGGTAACTAATTCTACAGCCGAGCAAAACAAACAAAGAGAAAAGCAATTAAGATCCAGAGAAGATGAATGATGTCCCTACATTGCTGGACGAACCCATCTGCTTGATGTTCTTCACGGCCAACATCCTGTCATGGAACACCCTTAAATAAACAAAAACTAGCATTTTACTTAAAACGTAAAGCCAAGGATTGAGCTATGGTTTAGTTGGTAAAGTTCTCATGTAAAAAAAAAAATGAGAACCCTAGTT